GGGGGAAGAGAGCCAAACGTAACAACGTCAACTCCAAAAGAATCAAGAAACCATGGCTTTGCATTCTTTCTTACCTTACTCCAATCTTCGCTTTACAAATACTGCCTATATTATTACCGCTTCGCTATTTAATCTGACAATAATGCGTTAGAAAAGAGAAAATGATTAAACGATACTGAAGTGAAAGTTAAAGACCTTAGCATTTCGAACGGACTTTAATTTTTCCAACAATCAACATTGTAATTAAAAATAAAAGCCCCAGTCCTGTGATTGACAAGTCAGGATTTCAGCTAATGAAGACAAAGAGCAGAATAATTAGTACAAAGAGGAACAATTTAATTGGACAGAATGGATGAAGCAATGTTCTTAAGAGATTGACAAGGTAACGTCAAAATAAAGCCGAAGAGTCTACGCTCTTCTGAAAGATGAGCAATAAGCAATACCCTCGGGGTGGTAACCATCAAGCTAAAATGCGATTTATGATGGCTCATGTTCCTGGACGACTAGAACAGTTAAACTCCCACTTCATTTAGGCAATCATCAATTATTTTCTTCAACAAATAGCCTGTTTAATAAAGCGAATTTTGAGCAACTGCTCATCTGTCATGTCTTCCAAGCAGTGTCTACTAGCTGGCATACCAACAGAACTAGATTTCAAACATTTATGCAGTAATAAAATGTCAGGCTTAATACAAGTTGGCAACTAATAACCATATGAGTGTCTAGCTTCCTGCTTTTATGAACTCCCAAACAACTGCAAATAAACGAAAAATTAAGCAAGATGTGGAGACCTAGTCAAGTACAAGTATGGAAAAAACGACTAATTTTGGAGAAAAAAAGATTAAGAACTCTTAAATTTGACAGCTTCACTCGACCTGAGCAACATCTACTCATGGGTTAATAGTATGGCATACTGAGAGGATATACATATCCCAAAGAACACTCGAAACAGGAGTTTCCATTTTCTAATAATAGAACGCACGCACAGTGAATGCTCATCACCTAAATGTGAATTTTTCGACATGGGTGGGTTAGACCCTGGTCTTCTTGATTGAAATCCGCTCATTTAAATCAATTTGTGATTATAATTAGGTTTTACGAGTTCAAGAACAGAATGACTAAGTAGACCTAGTCTTTCATGAAAAGTGAACTGCCCTGCTAATAATATTAATGTTAAACGAAGAAATTAGAATGGGCCAGTTTTACCTTCAAAATGAGAGAATTAGTTCTGACGAGATGCAAACCCATAGAAAGTGAAGAGGTAACTTTTAGCTGACCGGAATCAAATCAAACAATTCCAGCAAATACAATTTGGCGATTATAGCAGGCATATATTTCTAAGTGGCTTTCGAAGCTAAACAACTTCAAAATGGATATTCTCCATTATTTAAAGTTACTTTATCAAACAGGACTTCAAGGTAGCATCAATATTCACACAATTAACAAACGAGAACCGAGATTTGCAAAGTTTGGAATTCAAATATTAGTAAATAAATGGTGAGCAGACTGCATATAGAACTTAGGAATAAGTCATTATCCAGAATGTGGAAGTCAAATGTAAGGCCGTAAGTGTGAATGAAATCAAAGTATGGCATTCAAAAACAAGGATTTTATAAACTATGAGATAAGATCCGGGTGCCTTATCTCTAAATCACACATTAAAAATGAGCTTTGGACAAAATGATAGCCACTTTTATGATTTAAGCATATCGTTGCCCTATAATTAATCGAAATATCGACACACAAACATAAATAGTTAAAACACTGCTAACTAACCAAAGAGCGTGGCGATGACGCTTCCACAGGATCATTCCCAACATCGAAAGAGTCTTGTCGAGAAAGAGTAAAGTTTCCACGAGAGAGCCTAGTCCGAAAATCACCAGAAGGCCCAAAACGCTTTCTGTTCTCGGACTTGGATGAATGAATATTGCCACCACCGTTACCACTGTTGCTCATGAGGGATGCCTGAGAAGGCAGGGCGGTATCTTCCATACTAAGCCGTCTAAATGGATGAAAAACGTGTAAGCCCTGAAACTCTAAAGCAATCTTTGAGTAAGAAGTAGGATATGTATACACCCCTCATTCAATCGAGGCCTGGGTTAGGGATGAAATAGCATTCAACATTTCTGGTTAGAGGGGGGATTAATGCTTAATTCGGAGCTTACGGTAATTTTGGCCCTCGTGGGGCAACTTCAAAACCACAGGATCCATACATGATTGAATTAATTTACCTAGACTAAAATGCAATTTCGTGATATTAAAGGATCAATCCAGGTTAAATGCAATTTTTGTATGAATAGTAACATGTTATCGCTTACAATCGATAAATATTAACATACTTAAAAAATAAGCAAATTAAATACCCATGCACAGAATAGACATATCTATTGCATAGGTAAACAAAATAAACCAGGTTCATCAGTGGGATACTACTTGCCTAATAGTTATATTGTATTTTAGTTATTTATTGGCTTGACTTAGGGCAGTAATCCACTATTGCTAATATGACAATCCCAGGTTATATTATATGTTTTATTGGCGCACATATTTTAATCCATTTTGTGATTGGTTGGATTTGTATTGGTTTATCACAAAAGGTCATTCCATGAAAATATATGCGAAATTAGGAAGAAATTAGTGTGTGATTGTCCAATAATACATATTGTTTAAATTAAAATTCGATATTTCAAACCATAATATTTTAACCTATAAGATTCTATTCCATAAGAGTATTTCATACGTAATACCATTGTTAAGTATAATTTTCATTTCCTCCAGTGATCTTACTTTAAAATAGTGCTATCACAGAGTACGGGTAATTATGTTTATCAAAAAGCTCCTGCTTTTGATAGTTACCTAATTTAGTATCCCATTAAAATAACATAATTAAAATAATATGTTTCGCATGTGATGACAAAATCCGTTAAATTTGCAAAAAAATGTAGCTTTAAATGATTGATGTCTCGATATATGCTATTGATTTCTAGACAAATGTATTTATTTATTTCAAATAGCAGGCGTTTTGATAGATATCATTAGCCATTTAGCTGACTTCGGGCTTCACAGAGGGCAGGTTCATCAAAGTAGCAGAAAGTCGAGGTGTGGGGAACAGAAGAGCGATTCACAAATGCAAAAGAGATAGACAGACACAAAGTAAAAGTGAGTACTGTGAAATTGTTGGAATATGGCATACAGTGGGGTGATGGCAATTTGACGTCAGAAGTCAACTGCCGGTTTATAGACTTTTTTGCCGTATGAGTATACGTTGCGCAGGGTGCACCACGTGGAGGTAAGT